GCCATAAAATGAGTTGGGGTCAGGTCAGATGTTTCATTAACAAGTTATAAAAGTGTATTACTAAGAGGTTTGGGACTTCAGATCAGAAATTTATTATACAAATTGTGAGAGGCAGAATAGTTTAAATGATTGAGAAACATCTGGCTCTATCTTGGGAGCATATTAAATGTACATCTTTCTTTGACCTTTGATTCCTTCCTGCTCTAAAGTTTAGCCTGGTTTCTAACTCGCCCAGTGTTATGGGTTCAATTTTCAGGTCTTCCCATAGTAAAGTAGTATGTTTCAGCGTGAGTTCGCACAAGCCATTGAACTTCAGAACAGCTTTTAACTCTGGGAGTTTCTTGTCACTTCCTACACATTGTTATGTTTCTCCTGGTGCCTTACACTACCCCTTTGCTATGAATTTCATGCTTCCTCACATGCTGCTGCTAAAATTGGTGACATTACCTCCTCTCTCTGTTGATTATGTCTGTGGGTTTACTTGAATTCATCAGGAATATTCTTGAACAATTTTTTCCCCAAAATTCTCAGTAATTTGTATTCCTTTGTGATGTTAATAATGTCTATAACCATATGAACGTAGGTTTGTTATAAATAACTCATCTACCCATCACGTGTATATGCAAAAATACTCATCTGCACAGGTAGGGCTGTATACCATGATGCACACACAAATATATATACCTCATACACCTATATATTTAACACACTTTCATGCATATATTCTGTACACACGCGCGCACACACACACACACACACATTTATATTCCTCCTGTCTTAAATATAGACCCACAACAAGTCTGAGTTGTCTTTCTAACTTCTGTTCACTAGAAAATTCATGCATGGCATAAGCATGAAGCTGCTATTATCCGGAAATGGAGGCAAGAGCAGTTACCTCCCTTGCCTTTAAAATGTCCTTCCTTGAAGGGCAGCTCATAAAGAAAAGAAAACAAAACCAAAAGCACTCAGTAGATATTTAAAACGGTTTATGCATCATAATAGATTCTATTCTGGGTCACTTTGCACACCCAAATTGTTTTTTGTGACTATTAACAATGTCATGCTGAGCAATTTAATAAACACAATCAGTGGTAAAGCCTGTTACTTTTGTTTGCTCCTTTGAAAAATCATCCTCCTATATATATCTACCCATGGTTATAAGCCTGCTTCCTTAACTAGAGAATCTTCAAGAATAATTTCTGCATGTATGATAAGGATCTTTTCTTCGTGGGTGACAGAGTCTATTTTGCTGTACCTATTCACACTCAAATTGTTCTTGAGGAACAATTCAGGCATCATTTGTGTGGGCCTCCCACACACAGAATAGGTTAATAGCCAATGTCACCTTCACGGGGCTATTCTTTGGATAGAGACCATTAAGGGAAATAGCTGTTTCAGTGAGTGGCATATTAAAGTTCTAGCCCAGAGCTCTGTCTGCTCATGGTCCCAATGTTTGTGAGCGTGACTCAGTGAGAAAGCTTCCCTGCACTCCAGGAAGTAAATATGAGGGAATCTAGCCATAAATCTAAATCATGAGAGTGTGGGGGCTTCGAGTGATCCATAGAAGACTGAGCGAGGTCCCTGCATGCCACCGTTCAGCCTTTTCACGTCTTCAAGTATTTTATAACATGCCATTTTCTGTGGATTCTCCCACCCTCCTGTCAGGCAGCCTTTTATGCTTTCTGTTAGCTATCCAGCCACCCTTATTCGTGAGTTGATCAGATCAATCCTGCAGCTTTACCTCTAAATTAATTTCTCTATCTTCTGTGTGTCCTTCCTTAGCATCTATGTCCCTGAGATATTGTACGTGCTGGACTCAATTTGTGAGTGTGTGTGGAGTTGAAGTGTCTCCTGCATGTGGATAATAACAATCCTAAAATCAGCCATGCAGGGGCCGGGGAGATGGCTCAGTGGAATAAGTGCTTCCCTGGCAAGCCCAAGGCCCTGAGTTCAATCCCCAGTTCCGCAA